AAAAGACAAATGCAATAAAATGCTCAATTATTCCTAAACATCCCAGAGAGTGTAGCGGTGTAAAAGTTTAACATTAAAAAAAGGAGACCAGGGTTCAAATATGTTCTACTCTGTTCCGTTCTGCCTCAAACTGTGTCAGTGCCCAGAGGCTGAAATGTGCATTTTAGCCAAATGTAATAAGCCAAACGTTCCTTCTTTAGCCACTGATACACATAGACTCTCTTCAGTAAAAATAATCAACATTTTAAACATAGAAAAAATAATAGGGCTGGTCTGTAATGGTGGTATGTTTCTGGATAAAAAACTGTTAAAACCAAGTGTTTACCCTCAGTACTCTGGAGGCTGGATGACAGTGAGCGGCCAGCTGTTGTTTCACACTGATCAAAATGGCTCTTTCTCATCTCTTTTTGTAAGTTTCCAATCTAGAGTTGGTAAACTTGTGTCCCAGAGAAGGAAAACTGAGCGATTTTGGGCAGATAAATGATGAAATGCCTGACAGGGGAACAATAAACCACACGTCAGTGAGGTTTTTACAAGAAAAAATAGGCCTTAAGAAGCTCTTGGATTGACTACAAATGAACGGGATTCAGAACATCCAGATGTTCCATCATAAGGGAGGAAATCAAAGCCTGATTATTGGGTGGGCGGGGCTCAGTGGCGGTGTGCTCGCCATCCGCCCCGCCCCAGATGTGCAGAGGCAAAAAAAGCTCTGCATCTCCTGTATATGCAGCAATGGGAGAGATTTTTGTGGTATTTTGGCTTTTGGTGAGTTGCCAGTCATCTTAAAGAACATCTAAAGGCACATTTCGCCTGTTTTTTATATGCAGGTTTGTGAATTTTGCTTCAATTCTGCTTCTTGTAGCCGGAGAAGCTTCAGATCTCCCAAAACTGAGAATTTGTGAATATGTATGAATATATAACTCCGTTTCCCGTCTGGTTGAGAAGAGCAAAGGCAAACGTGACATAACAGATGTGTGTTTGTGGTGAAGGACTTGAGCTGGGCTGCGTATTCCCACAGACCGCAGCTCGGCTCTGCACCCCTGCAGCCTGTTTTTCGGGCGTTCTGGGACGTTTCCAGGTTTCAAATCCTCTTTAATTCTAGTGTCCAGTCGCGTTAGCGCCGTCCTCCAAAAGGTCAGAGCAGCCATTTTGATGCAAAAGCATCAACGCAAATGTAATGCGAAAATTCTCATTTAAAGTTAATTTATTTTGTTTTATTTGTTTCTGCTTCATATCAGGATGAAATAACTCTTTTAAAGAAACATATTTATGCATTTGGCAGCAGATGTTCTAGAGAGAAATCAGTTTTCAGGCTCCCTAACCCCTCCAGACCGGAGCATAGGTCTTATTGTGCCTATTTTTCTTCACTCAGTCTAAAACATCCTGAGCTATCGAATACAAAGTGCCCCAGGGTGCGGCTCCCATCTACCTGAAAACTCCCGTCGTGTCACAGATCGGCCCCTCCGGCCATCGAAGGATCGTCTCCTAGGAGCTCAGCAACAGGATCCCTGTCTGAGTCCCAGCCCTGCACAAAGCACCACCCCATAACTCTGACACTATAATAATAATAATAATAATAATATATCTCCCCCATCCATCTGTCTCTACACTGTCTCCTCTGTGGCCTCTAACAGAATCGGCCTGCTTGTTTCCTGCCCTGTAGCATCTTGCTGGGATCCCAAATTATCTCATAATTACACAACTACAGTATAATTACAGTATTTTCTTACACAGGAAAGAGGTGTAAGTAAACATTTCCTCTGTAGAATTAAAATCCAAAACTGTCATTTTGATGAATAAAAATGTATTCACACAAAAAATGTATTTATTTAGAAGAAGAAGTCTTCTTCTATGCTTCATTTTAATGTCAACAGTAGAGGAGGTTTACTTCCTCTAGCTTTGTTCTGTATAGCTGCAGCAGATCGTGGCCTCGACTGCATTTATTCTCACAACGATGCTCAGTTAAATTAGGGAAACTGTATCTGCATTGTTAATTGTTTTAGATAAAAGCGTCTGCGGAATGTAATCAGAATTAGATTTTAGGTTTTTCTCCTGACCTGAGAAAGAGTTTGACTAATTCCCCTTTAGTTCAGTCCACTTGATGACAAATTAAAAAACTGAACGGATCCTCTTCGTAAAATCTAATTCAAGTCCAAGTCAAAAACAAAAAAGAGCAAAAGAGTAATGGGAATGAGGTCAAAAATCTGCGTGGTTCCACTCTTGTACCCCCCCCCACCTGCATAAGCAATCACATGCTAATTTACCAGAAGGCTTCCACAGTCGCTCATATGCATACTTTTTTTTTTACTGGTGAATAGTAATTGAACCTAAATTATCATAAGAATATAAACTGAATTGATTGGAACTTAATTGTGTGAATAAACTAAAACTGAGTTTAGGCTTCTAACCAGTCCCTGAAAGCCCCAATCCCTGAACGGTTTTCCGCCCCAACGACCAAATTTTCCAGCGCTCTGAAGAGTCTCTTCTGTCGTGACCTGAGCTGACAATTAAAAAAGCCATTTAAGTGAAGTCTGAGTGTTTTTAATCACAGGCCAGCGCGTCCAGGCCCAGTCGCCGGGCCAGAGAGCTCTCCACTCTGACAGGCTCTCCATCTGCTGCCCCCCCCACCACGCCGGCCCCTGACCGTCAGGCTGAGTGGGTGTTAAGTGTATAATTATGGGATGTTTAGAGCCGTGCTCCATCAGCTGCTGACGGTCGCACAATTACCTGCTTCTGCGTCCGGCGGAAAATGTTTTGACATCTTCAGAGCTCAGGTGTTAATTTCTGACTATACGTTTATGACCCAGCTGTGAAAGCCCCGGTTCTGTCGGGGGTGTAAAGAGGAAAGCATCTGCTCAAAACCACGAATAGTTACATGTTTAATACCTCTGGTTCCCCCTTTGGAGGCCTCAAAGTCGATTTTTAGTTGTTTTTTTGGCTTTTTAAAAGAATATTAGTCTGAAATTGTTTGGTTCTGGAAGAAATGAGTCGTTCACTCTTCACATATTTTTAAAGTTTTTACTCTTAGAAATGAAAATGCGCCTCCAAACATGATTAAAAAACCGATAAACTTTTCTTATTTGAATATTTTACCCATTTTAAAGAGGTTTGTTTTTTTAAAACTTTTATATCCAAAAATTAAAAAAATTTCCGATGCATGTTTATATTTTGGGGAAGGTTAAAACGGATTAAAAAGGCCAATGACCTGACTTAGAACTGCTCTTCCTTCTGCATCTCAGCTGATCTTTGCGCTCTAATTTAAGTTTGAATGAGGAAGACGATTAAATGAGAGGCTGAAAATGCTGTGAGGGGCTTTGCTTGTGTTGCTCAAACCTGCTCAGATACCCTGAAAGTGACGAGGTCACAGCTTAACCAATAAAAACCCCAACCAATTTATCCCTAAAGTAAAATTAGAGGGAATGAAAAACTGACCAAATAGCCCCCATGTGTTACATAGAAACCTTTTTAAAAGACCCAAAGAATAAAAATCTGTGATGTTGGTCATTTATGGTAAATTCCTTTTATTTGAAATAGTTTGTTACACTGTGCCAGACTGGGTTCTTACGGGTTAAATATGTATTAGCTGTTATGTTTGTGTCTGTTTCATGTTTTATTCTGATGTCAGCCGGTGTCAAAAAATCCAAAAAGATGTGAAATTTCCAAACCGTTGTAGAAGCAGCTTTAGAACCAGACCTTTAGACCCAGAAGCTGCTCCTCCTCTCGACAGGAGGAAATCCCTCACGCTTTATTCTGCATAAATGGGCGTTTTCCAGACATTTTATTCCTGTTTGTTTTCTACAACAAGTAGAAGGGAGCATCGTTTTTTTTGTCTGAGAGGAATTGAGTCTCGGGAGACGCTTGTGTTTCTGGTGCTGCTCAAAAGAGAAGTGATGAAAGCTGTAGCCTGGGGGAGGGGGAGGGAAGGGGGGGGGGCTGACAGGAGCCTCAGTAAGACGATGTTATTCCTCAGTGAAATATTTGCTGTTCCAGACACTAAAAATCTCCCGCCGTTGCATTTCTTTTTCTTTGTCAAACCTCCCTCGAGTGGAGGAGGAAAACATGGCCGCCGACTGGCTGCTCAGAGCTGATGTTTAAAACGCCAGAAAGTCAGAGCAGCTTAAGTCTCCTCTGAGCTCTGAGCTGCTTCCTCCTCCAGCCTGAAACCTCTCCAGCAGCTCCTTTCTTTAAGGAGCCTCCAGGAGATGGTCAGCTGGAGGTCCAGATGCAGCTCTCAGCTCCTGTTCAGCTCTCTGCTGGATCTGCTCCTCTTTCTGAAGGACCTCACTTTCAGGTCCTCTTCATCTGCTGGATTAGAGAGTTTTTCAGGCCCAGCTCTTCTTCTTCTGTCCTCCACTGGTCCAGTTTCCTCAGATGTTTTAAGGACTCGCTGCTCACCAGGCTGAGATCTGGCCAGTTTTCAGCCAGCAGCTCTTTGGGAATCCTCAGAAATCTTGTTTCCTGAAATACGCTAAAACATAAAACACAGCTGGATTCAAATAAGTGAGCCAAAACTCTTCTAGTGTTCTTCAAAAACACTAAAAATATGGTTCTTTGGAGGAAAACGTAGATAAACTCTGTTTTTAAATCTACAAATTGAGTTTGTTTCATATGTTGTTGTTTCATTTGATGTACAGCATCACACACATTATAGAAATATCAATTAAATGGTCACATCAACATATTACTGTCAAATGAAAACAACTGAATAAAAATGGGTGTATTCTGTCATTATTTTTTGACTATTGTGGAACAAATGATGTGTCTCTGTGACATGCTGCTGCTAACAAAGAGCCTAAAGATCCACTTTAAGCTGCAGACGCTGGCTCATCCCTTGAGTTAGGGGCCTTATTAGTTGAGTTCAGTGGCTGAAAAGAACTCAGCTACAAGGACTGAAAAGGAGAGAAAAGGCAGACAAAGAGGGAATGGATGATTTTTCCTGGCTCCTGTGTGATGAATCGGAGCAAACTGACGGTGTGCTGTGCTCCCCCCCCCCCCCCCAGGTCAGCCTGATGCACAACGGCTGGCCGGTGATCTCCGCGTTCGCCGGGGACCAGGACGTGACGCGCGAGGCCGCCAGCAACGGCGTCCTGATCCAGATGGAGAAGGGGGACCGGGCCTACCTCAAACTGGAGAGGGGGAACCTCATGGGCGGCTGGAAGTACTCCACCTTCTCCGGCTTCCTGGTGTTCCCCATGTAGAGCGGCGGAGGGGGGCGGAGCCAGAGGAGGGCGGAGCTGGAGGGGGAGGAGCCAGAGCGGAAGATGGAGAGTTTGAGGCGGATGAAGGGGAGAGGAAACAGGACAACGAGGAGATGCTGGAGAGGAAAGAAGACTGGATGTGAGCCGGGACTTCTGCGGCAGAGGAAGAGGGAGGAGGTGTCAGGTGGGAGGTTAAAGGGGGGGGGGGGGGGGGGGGGGGGGGGCTTCAGAGGGCTGTCAGCGCAGTGCAGGGAGCAGCCAGCCTCTTCACTTCCCTCCATCCTTCATCCATTCTTCCCCCTCCCTCTGTTTTTCTCTGCGGCTCGGACGGCCAAAACTTTTTTATTCTCTGCCGAGAGACAAAAAAAAACAAAAAACTGCTGGTTTTGTGTGTTTGAAAGCCTCCGTCCCCACTCACCCACCCAGTATCCCCTTCATCCCTCCATCAGCACACGCTTCTGAGAATGTTTGTGGAGGATCTGCTCCCCGTCTGCTCTAATATCTCCTGATTAATGGTTCTGATCTGGGTCAGATTCTGCCCCCACGGCCAGATTTCTGCTCACAAAACCTGAGTCTGAGGACCTTTTCTTTCTACTTAACATACCAGTTATTAGCTTTTTTCTGACGCGAGCCTTTGCCCCGTCCGTTTCTCCGCCCTCCTGAGATCAGTGGGAGCTCTGAGGCCTGAAGGTTGCAGGTTTCAGCCCTTTTTTCTTGTCGCTGGCATGCGTTTAAAGGCGAACGCCATCACTGGGTTTAATTGGCACGATTGCAGGCAGAATGAGGAAGGAGATGTGAAAACCTCTCTAAGCATTTAACCAGTTTCCTCCTTAATAACAAAGCATTTCTCTTTTTTTTTGGGGGGGGGGGGCAGAGATTTCAAGCTTCCTGTATTTTAAGCTGCAGTTTTATGTTTTATATACGTAAAAAGAAAAGGGTGGGATGTGTTTGTTTCTGACTGTAAGCAATTACATTTTATTAATATTTAAAAACCCATTTTCAGCTCTCAAAAGCTCAGTCTCCTCTGATTGATCAGCTCCTTTGGTCTGAGTGGCAACAGCCAATCACACGAGTTCCACTCAAGGTTCAAATCTTCAAAGGTTTTCATTGGGCGGAAAACGAGCACAATGCTTCCAGGGACAGTTTATTTTTCATTATCCGTTAAATAACAAATGGTGAAGTAGGCTGATCCCCACAAAGGTTTTTTTTTATCTGACAATAAACAACAAGAATCAATTACATTTTTTTATCTTGTAGAAAGATATTAAATCAGGCTTTTGAATACAAGATCTGATGATTGATCCTCTGTAAACTTACCCAATTTAAAGAAATAATCTAATAAATTCAGTTTTAGCCTTAAAGCTGATTGAAATCGTGTTTGAGTGGACAGATAGGCTCCCAGCTGGCCGGCCGGAGGCCCCTTCCCAAGTCTGACCGGCGTTTCCGTTAAGCCCATTTCCGTCTTTGCAGCGAGTTTTCCAACTAAACACACCAGATTCTGCGTTTCCTCCAGAATCTCCGCTTTGCTTCGGACCGCTAAAGCTGCCCTCCATAAAGGTGATAAATACCCCTCTCACGGTCACATCTGGCCCACAGCTGGAGGACCTGGGCGGGTGGGTCCGGTTTCCCCCCTCGCCTTCATTTCCACGCATCCCCCCCCCTCCCCGTTCGTCTGCTCTCCACCCAGCATCCTTTTCCCCGCTTTTATACACCCCTAAACAGCCATCTCCCCTTTTTCCCTGTTGTCTGAATTTTATCTGCTGCTGTTCTCAACCCTCCCTTTTATTCATGTTGGACTGTGGACACTGAACCCTTCTGCCATATACATATATATGTATATGTATATATACATATATATATATATGGTCATGTATGAACTCAGTATATATACAAATGGAAATATAAATATATCGAATTCTAAGCCACTGTTTCTATTCTCCTGGTATTATGAGGATAATAATGGTAATACTAGTACTGATAACTGAACCTGATTGATGATATAATATCTGTATTTCCGTACTTCAGTGTTATATAAAGAGGAAAATATTCTAAAGAAATCTACTAGTGATTGTGTGGAAATCTGAGGCTGCCATTCTGTTTTTTCGGATTAAAAAGACGCTTCTTGTTTTTTTCGTTTTGGGTCAAACCAAGTTGTGGCTAAAAGGCTGTGACGACTACTTCTGTATAAACGATAGCTTAAAAGACTTTTCTTCTTCTTCTACTTCTCCTTCTTCTTCTTCTTCTTCTCGTTCATTTGACTGTGAAAACGGGACGTTTAGATGTTGACGACATCCTTTGATTAACCAACCAATCGGATCGATTTATCTACTGTTTTTTTTATTTATTTGCTCTGAAGAACTCAATAAAATTAAATGGTACGTTTATTTTTCTTTAACCTAAAACGAGTCTGGGCTCCTGTTTGTTTTTTTTCTGAAGCTGGAACGACTTCTGAGAGCACGCGGAAACGTGCACGCCGACACGTGCACGGCCCCTGCGGATGTGTTGCATGCCTGTTGTTTCCATAAATCCATTCAGTTTAGCTGCTTTCTTCCTGGCTCCTGGTGTCCTCTTTTCTCTCTCCCCCGGCCCCTCTTAACTTTCCCTCTCTGTCTTTCTTCTTCTTTGTTTTATTTGGATGCCCTCCCCCCCCCCTTTGCTTCTTCACTCTGTTGGTTTTTAAGGTTTTGTGGATCGTTTCCTTCCAGACTTTAATGAGCTCCGGGGGGAAAATTAGTGCTGAATAACAAGCAAACACAAACATTATTTCCCCCCTCCTTCCCCCACTCTTCATGCTTTTGCTTTTTTTTTTTGGTTTGATATCTCGTTTTTTCTCCTTTTGTCGCGATTCTTCCTCCTCACATCCTCATTCAGAGAGCTTTTCTTTAACCTCCCTCTGTTTTGGGTCTCAGACTCTGTGGAATCCCTGTTTTTTTCCCTTTCTCATACTTTAAACCCTGAGTATTGTGGCTGACGTCATGTTATTAAACAAATCGAAATGTTCTTTTCTCACTTTATTCCTCTCTGGTTGGTAAAATTGCAGGAAATCGTCCAGATTAAGTGACAAAACTGAGTGTAAACATTTCTGTTTTGAGGATAGCTTTTTGATTTCTTTGAACATATCTTAAATTGAATCTACTTAAATGACTAGGTTTAGGTAGGAAAAACTTTTAAAGAAGTTTCTGTCCGTAGTCTGGGCTGAGATGAGAAGTAATGGTTTGGATCTGCTCATTCAGCTTTGGGTAAAACTTAAAAAAGTCAATAAATGTGCAAAAATTATTTAGATATTTTAACCTAATTGCCTTCAGTGTCCTATTTAATGGTTTCACTCTAAAATTAGCTAACTAACTTTTTCTACTTTTGGAAGGTGGGAAAAAAGGACGTTTTGCTGGTTTGTCACCAGCAAAATGCATGTTTTCGTTCCCATTTTGTAAACCTTTAAACATTTTAATGCTTTTTACTGAGTTTCCAGTTAGTAAAGAAACATATATGATTTTTAGCTTTATTTTTACTCCTCTTTGTTCATAGGTATAACAAAGATTTTTGCCATCTAAATGAGCATTTATTAAAAATCTATATCCACTAAATCCATGTTAAAAAAAAAAGCGAATGATGCTGGGAGCATCCAGGAGGAGCCGGATTTTAAACGGC